TTCTTCAGATTCTAGAACTCATTGTTGATTTCCAGAAGATCCAGCTCAGAGCAGTATTGCATCTTTAGTTGCACGACAAAATCTTCCCAATATATCTTGCTAGTTGTTCCCTTGGGCATCGAACCAACTAGTAGCTTGCACCAGTTTAGCACTCCAGACTTTAACAGAGGAATCGCGAGAGTGGTTTTCTGTCTGTTGCTACATTCGTAACTCTCAAACATTGTCTCCATCTCATAGATCCAATCCATAACTTGTACCAGTGTTGGGTTTCCAGAAAGACATGGGGGTTTGGATGCCATGAAGTCCTTGTACTTGCATCCTTTTCCATCGTTTCCTCTACCCTGGTTATCCTGCCTTACAATCGGTGGGTCGTCTTGACCAATGATCCCACTAAAGTTTCCTCCTTTAGACTACCCTCCATTTACTTCGGGCTCTTCAACTTGAATTGACAATCTTTCGCAATTCTGCCTAATCAGACGTCTGGTTTCTTCCATTTGACGATCCAGCATCATTTGAATCATCAATTGTACTCCAGCCATTGTTATCGGCTTAGGTGTTGTTGTTACAACCGGTGCTTGCTCAACCACAGGTGGTTGATTCCTGTTTCGTTCATGTTTCCAGCTCCACTTCTTGTTCTTGCCATTCTTGATCTATACACCAAATAAAGTGATTTTAGATCTTCATTCATGGTAGATATTTAAATCATCCTTATCACTCTGAAACGTTTACATGCTAGTTCTAATACCATATTCGTACGCTTAGAATCCTAAACACATAAGGTTTCCAGATCCGGTCGACAACAAAACATAGATCCGAACAAATAATAGCATCAATATAGCTATCACACAAAACATTTAGCACATAAAAGCATTTTAGGCATCATTCCTAAAATAAGCTAGTGTTTGTGTCAATTTAGGTGTACTACCTAACATATTTTAGACACACTCCTCACAATCATTACTTAGCATTTTAAGTTTAAGTCTAGAAATTTCCTACAAATTCCTAGTTCGCTTAAACTAATGCTCTGATACCAACTGTGACATCCCCAAAATCTAGGCCAGAAAAGACCAATTTGTTTATGCTTTGTTTTTAAAATCAGAGAAATTGTTTGCAGAAAATTGTTGCGGAATTTGTCCCCAAAACAAAATATGATAAGAATTTATCAAAACATTTCTTAAAGAAAAGTATTTTCATTATATAACAAAATCTCGGGATGTCATGTTCCGATACAGACACATAAGCATAAACAGAACTTACATTTATTTACACTAATGATTTACATCTCCTTTAATCTCTTAGTGAAATATGTCTTCGTATTGATACCTGTGATACAAAGAAAATTGAGTGGGTCAGGCTTGGGAGCGTGGTGAGTATATAGGGTTTTCAACCCACAATAATATAATTATAATATTCAATCATCAAACAATCAACCCATTATTATCTTCTTTATTTCTTAAGTTTTACCCTAAGAATCGACTATCCTTCCTTCATCCATTTCTAAGGATTGACCTAAGGAATTGGCACATAGTCCATTGCTGCCTAAGGTTAATCTACATAGTACTAAATCCATAGCTACCATGGTTCATCTACACTGTACTAAATCCATAGCTACCATCGTTTTATTATGAGGCACTAAATCTATAGTTGCCAGGGTTTTTAGAGTACACCGGTGAACATCAAGTCCACAACACCTACAAGTTGTGAGCTTGCTAGTGTTCCAATGGACTGTCTAGAATAGTCCGTGGTTGTCATCCGTACTCTGCTGAATAACGGGGGCCATCGTTTGGGTAAAGGTTTCACATATTTTTCACCTGTAACCCTCATCTCAAGATCTATATTATCTTTCGTCTCATCCTCAAACTCATCTTTCATCACACACCAACTATTTCATCTACCCATGTTCTAGCCACATATTTGTAGATATAAATATAATTTAAATTATTTAAAAACATGTATAAAACATTCATTCGACATCCATCTCAAGTAAACAAACAACGTGTAAACACATAACACATATTTCATAGCAAATACTTTATATCTATGTGGTATTAGAAAGTAACTATACACTCATTCATATAAACAACAATATATATATATATATACACACACACACACATAACACATATTTTATAAAATACTTCATATCTATATGTAAGATGTAAGTGACTATACACTCACTTGATCAGAAGATGATCGGACAGCATTACGACTTATAGAAGTAGTATTCTTGGGTAGATCCTGAAGATCTTCACAAAAATCGGGCTCCTCGCGGGCAGGGCTTCGGCTCAGGAATCTCACTTATCGGGATCTTCGGGACTTCGGAACTTGCTTCAGGGCTCGGGAATGATAACGGGGCTTCGGGATATAATTGGCATGCAAATGGAGGCAAAAACTTAGAGAGAAGAAAGAAAATGAGCAAATAAAATGGCTGATATCGGTTGCTATTTATAGGCTCCTGGGTCTGGGATTACGCTGGGCGTAATTTCCAAGTACGCTGGGCATAATCTTGGTTACGCTGGGCGTACGCTCGGATAAGCTTTGGTATGTGTGCCATGATCATCAAAAATTCATATCTTTCGCATACGAGCTCTGTTTTCGACGTTCTTTATATCCACGCGTAGGTGAGTTTATGCTCTACAACTTTCAATTAGACTCCTTTGGCTAATTTTGAATTTATTTTTTATTATTTATTTTTAGTAGGCCGGGACAGGAAAACTCCGTTATAAATTCATAACTTCTTCATCCGACGTCTGTTTTCGTCTGTCTTTTTACCGTTGGACTACTATCAACAAGATCTTCGATTCTCGTTTAGATTGTTTCTTTTAAAAACTGCTCGATCTCAAATCGAGTATTCGGGTTGCATACCGCTAAGTCGAAACTTAGAAAAATCATAACTTCCTCATACGATGTCAGATTCGGACGTTCTTTTTATGCTCGCTCTCGGTTTAACGTATTCTACGACTTTCATTTAGATTGCTATGGCTAAACATTGCTCTAACGTAAATTCACTATTTACATCGCGCTGTGTCGTGCCGGTTCTGTCGCGAAACTTCGACAGGTCATAACTTCTTCGTTATAACTCGGATTTCGGCGTTCTTTATATGTACGGAACATTACCCTAAACTGTTTTGGACTTATAAAACTTGTTTTTGATGGTGTAATGACTATGATAATCCATTTTCAATGGTTATTATCAAAATTTCAAGTTTTTATATGTGTTTATATGATTCTTGAAATTGTTGATATGAATGTTCATACTTATTAGTTTTAGAAGATCATAGGAATTATTTGCAAATTGTTTGTTAGTGGATTTCTTTATCTAAATGTCAATGATGGAGTCCATAATTTGTCTTCAAGTTATGGATTACCAAAAGTCATTTCTTTAAAAGTCATTTAAGAACCATAGGTTACATAAAATGAAGAGTCTTCATTTTAGTAAACCATTAAACTCATAAGTTATGAATATGAAAGGTTTTGAATAATTTCAAAACTTTCCCTCAAGTTTTGGAATTTCTAAAGTCACTTTAGAAAACTTTAATTCCATACCCTAGAATTTTAAAAGTTAAAATTCAACCCTTATACTTTATAGTATTATAAATTAATAATATATATATATATATATATATATATATATATATATATATATATATATAGGCTTAGGTTATTTTGTTTTTACTAACTATTGTGTGCCAGAATGAACAGATCTGGACCAACGGATGAAATTAATCAATGTATATGATTTGTGGGTGTATGATATTACAATGGGATAACATGTACGTGTACCATATAATCACACAAATTTTGGCAAAAGAGTATTTTGGACAATTAACTACATTTATAAAAGGAAATTTCGGATTTTTAGGGATAATTAATTCTCCTGATTTTAAAAATCTGAATTTTTTAAATTAATTTAATTTTAATTCTAACGTAATTTGTATACATACCTGATTTTATTCTGTCAGAATATTTTTTTTGTTAGAATGATGTTCTTTCAGAATTTTATTCCACTATAATATTATTGAAGAATAACAACATTCTTGAATCTGAGGTTGAAAAATAACAACATTCTAATATATTTGTATCCATCCGAACTTAAATACAAATTCATAAATATTCTTACAGATTAAAAGCCTTATACATTTTTAATATAATTATACATATTCTAAAAGAATATAAAAAAATGAATAAAATTCTTAAAAAATAACAACATTCTAAAATTGTGAGTATGATCAAACTTTATTCATTCTTCAAGTTATTCCTATTAGGTCTTCATAGCATTCTTCCAGTCATTACTATCACAAAATACAACAAAAACTAATAATGATTACAAACATGTTACTTGCAATTAACTATCACTTTAAATATTCTGGTAGAATACATAGAATATGACATAATACATAGAAAAAGAAAATAGGCAATCCAAGAGAAATATCTATTACAAAAAAAAAAGACAATCAAATAGAAACATCTATTACAAAAAAAAAATTAACAGGTAAACAAAGATTCTAAAAGAATCGTTAAATATAAAGTGTTGTTACCATTTAATTCTGATAGAATATATATATATATATATATATATATATATATATATATATATATACAATTACCATTTATAGCATCATACAATTACCCATTACTATTGTGTAACCAAAGCATATTATAGAATTTTTAACAAACATTCTTAAAGAATCATCAAACCTAAAGTGTAATTATCATTTTAAATTCTAACTGAGTGCATTTTAACATAATACACTATACAAAGCATAATGTATTCTTACAGAATCTACTATATTGTGTATTTGATAGTTCCTAAAAAAATAAGTATTCTGTTAGAATACATTGTATAATAACTTGCAGTAACTCAGCTATATATCACTTTTCATTTCATCAATAAGCTAATTAAGCAAGCAATGTTTAGGGAAAATTAGAACCCCAAATGAAAAACAAAACCTCAAGTATACTTCAATCAATTTAGGAATTAAGGTTTAATTCTGACCTGATTACTTGCAATAACCTCTGCCACAAGCATTGTAGTCTTCTTCAACTGTAGTTGTCAAATAAGCCATAGTTAAATCAGCAACATCAAACGACTTCTCTTTCATCGCTTTAACAGTGTCATCTTTCTTCAGCATGGTGTGGCGGATGGGCGGGCGGTTACAGCGCTGACCACGAGAGAAGTATTTGATGTCGAACACGGTTTCTGGATCGGAGGTCGGGACGATGGCCTTAGTCGGTTTAGTGGCGGGACAAAACCTTTAGAGGTTAACATTCTTTATAATCAATTAATCCAATGCTTTTATAATGGAAGGAGAACTAATATTCACAAATGACAAGGATATATGTTGGAGGGTTTCTGGAGTAGCAAACGATGTCATAAGAGGATAACCGGAGGAGCAGAATGCGTAACATCGACTGGAAGGCAACGAAGAAGAGGCAGAGAAGGTTGGTAACGATGGTAGATGGTGTTGACAATTGTGATGAATTGGTTATGGGTTTCGGCAAAAGGGGTTGATGATATATAGGGTTTTAAAACTGGCTTTACTAAATTAAAAGGATATTAAATGGTTTAAATATTTACTATAATTAGATATAGCAAGATTACTATCATACCCTTATATTAATTAATTATGATTCAATTTTTATTAACTTCTGATTGGTGCATTTAGGCACACAATATTTGTTGGAAACATTTGAACCTCTCTCACTCTCTCTCTCTCTCTCTATATATATATATATATATATATATATATATATATATATATGTGTGTGTGTGTGTGTGTGTGTGTGTGTGCGTGTGTGTGTGTATAAGAGCAAGTCAGTCTTACTATTAGTAGGCCTCATTCACGAAGTCGGTCTATAAGGGGGTATAAGGTTGTTGCCTATAAAATGGCAGCTTAATGGGTGTCCACTCTCACCCACCGCTTCCTTGACTGGTGGACGGTCGTTAGCCGAAAGGGTAGGATAAGGACTATAATCCCCATTAAAAGTATAATGAAAAACATAAAGTAACTAAACCTTTTATAAATTCCTAATATTAGTTACTTTAAGAAAATGTGAAATTAGTGCTAACCTATGAAATTACACTTTTTACCTTACCAAGTCATTGGTGGTGCGTGTGTGGGTAACCGGCACACTAACATGGACTAGTAAGAGTGGAAAAGGTGACTTAATATTTATCATAGATCGGTGGAGCGCGTGTGGGTAACCGGCACATTGATTAGGTGATAAACATTAAGGGTACCAAGAAAATTTGCATGGTTATTCACACCTTGTTTGTGATCCTCGGCATCCTAGTCACAAACTTTAGAGGGAACAATCGAGATTTAAACATGCCATTGAAAAGTTCAATTAATCTCAAAATAATCTAGGAGTTTCAATCCAATTAAAACTTAATAATTCATTTTGTTTTTCATGGTGGAAATTGGTGAATCGTCATTCACCTACCTTCAAATATTTTATAGCTTGCATTACGACATCCCTATTCCAAGTTATAAAGTATTGTGTTGGGTCTTAGCCTTAATATTACATTTGGGTGTCTTATTATGGATTCTATATCTAATCTAAACTTGTCTTTCTTGTTTTCAGATGTCTTCCAACAATGCTACTTCTGGCTCAAACCCTACCGGCTCCTTCTCTCTCATGAACCTTTGTGGGAGAGTCATCTTTGATGGTTCAAACTTTAATGATTGGATCAGTAACATTAGGGTGGTCACACGTTACAAGGACAAGGAATATGTCCTCGACAAGGAGCTGAAGGAAGTTGAAGAGTCTGCTGCTACTCAGAGGAGATCGCCGACTTTAGGGCACATGAGAAAGATGTTACCAAGGTGGCTTGTATCACGTTGGCCACAATGAAAGATGAACTCCAGAAGTCCTATGAGGACTTTTACTATGACAACCCAAAAATTTCCATTATGTACAACCGTCCACTTCAATAGACACCAAAACTGTTTCTGCTAACTTTCAAGCTTTTTGGAATAAGTTTGAGTGGTTTAAAGTTAATGCTTCAAGAGATAATTGGAGAGAGGATGCCCTAGTGTTTATTATACATCAATTAGGTTCCAAAAACCCCAAGAGTTTGGAGTTTACGGCCAAAATGGTATTAGGGTCGTAAACCCTAATGGCTATATAAGTAAGACTTAGTTATTTTTATCACTTTTTCACGATTCCAAGATCCAAACTCAAATCCTCTCAAGTAGCATCCGAATTTTCCTTCTTGATCTTCAACTTGTAAGTGTTTCAAGCCTTAATTAGTTTATATATACCTTAATCTAGTGATCTAACACACTTTCATCCTTGAAATCATTCCAAAAGTGTAGATCTTCAAGTTCACCAAGAAGAACACACACTAGTGTTCTTGGACTTTTAGCTCCTTTTCAAGCTTCTACCTAGTAAGTACTTCTATCCTAGAGTGTTATAAGCCTTGTTACACTTATAATCATCAAGAAAACACCCAAGAAAGGCAATATCAAGGGTGTTTACGGTCCAAGATGTTCTTGGACCGTAAACCCTAAAAATGGTGCCAATGTGTGCCTTAGTCCCTACCAAGCCTTGGAAACTAGTTTAGATCTTAACCTTGATGTGTTTAGGACTCAAAACAATAAAAAGACCATCATCCATATGTGTTTATGGCAACAAACACATGGAGAAGTGGTCCATGGGCCGTAAACTCCATTTAGGAGTGTTTTGATGGCACAAACACTTCCTAAGACTTAGACTTGAAGTTAGGATGCTTCATTATGAATTTTAGGACTTCAAACCACAAAATGGTCAAGGGAACATGAGTTTACGGCCGTAAACTCATGGGTTTACGACCGTAAACTCCAATGGAGTTGGTCTAATGCGCGTAAACACCCTTAGATGCCATTTCAGTTCCCTTTGATGAATCACATGTGATTCCAACACTTAATCAAGGTGTTTCCTAGTCCCGGAAGGTGTTCCTTTTCATATAGTTGTTTATAAACACTATATTCATGTCAATATGTGTCCTTATATGTCATTTAGGACTTATTGTGTCTCGTGACTTCATTCGTGGAACTTCTCATCCTTACACGCATACCCGATTGAATCACCCACATCAGGTGAGTTCATACCCCATAATGAATCTTTTAATTGTTTTAACTGTTTAAGGGGGGAATACAAGTTGAACACAATGATAATTGTGTAAATGTTTGTTGTTAAATATCTTTCAAAATGTTACTTATGTTCTTTATAAGTTGTCAAAACATTTCAAAACTCTTTAAATTTATGTTACTTTATAGTTACACAAAACTCCGTTTTTAAAGTACAAGCATAACTTAGTAGATAAATGAGTCTTTTCAATAACAGTCCAAGTAGAACATTAGTAAACTATAATAGGTATAGTTTAGGAGAATGCTATTCGTTACTTCTAGTACAATGAAGCACACAAAGAATCAGCTCATGCAAAAATCAAACAAATAGTGAAGAGAATTAAATAATACCATACAGAACATGTAGAAAAGAGATACAGAACAAACAAGTTAGGTTGCTATAGCATTAGAACACACAAACATGATCTAATTATACCAATGAATCACTAACTCATTGTTTTAAACAAAAGGTGATAGTTATATTGGGTATACATGATCATATAACTTTAATGTGAATTACACAGCTTGCAAGAATTTGCAGGGGTCGCGTTTGGTTCCCTTAATCTCTTGACAGGGAGAGCGTTTAGCAGGGATTCTAGCCTTCACATTATGACCGTAATAAAACAAATTTGTTTTTAGGTTATTTAGTACGTCCGTATGTCATTATAAACGACATCTGTGTACTTACTTTTCCCATTACTTTCATAAAGTGACAATACCACTTGAAGGTTGAACTACTTTCTAGCTAGGATAGTTATAAACTAGAGAGAATATACTTTTACGTTCGATAATCGGATCAGTCGAGTCTAGCACATAACAGAAGATGCGTTGGTAGAAGGCTACGATTAAAAGTTAGGACCATAATGCTAGTCTTATGATTCCTTAATGTATACATCATAGGATACATATATACCAATAGGTTCCGACAGCTAATAGGATGTGTGCTCTCCGCTTCATTTCCTGTTCCTCGTTGGGTTGTGGGGTTGGAACAGATTCGCCCAATCTATTATCTATCCGATGCTATATATATATATATATATATATATATATATATATATATATATATATATATATATATATGTATGCTTAGTATACATTAAGTCATCATAAGAGTACCAGGTTTGGGTCAGGTTATAGAACACAGAGTCAGAGCACGGTTTTCTAGTACAATACATACTTTCCAAAGTTAGTACTTTTGAGTATTCAAAACTAGAAACTTCCCAGTAAAGGGTTTAATCTATTTTATTAAACCGGTACAATTTTAAAGACTTTAGGTGAGTAACTCTATAATACCTTAGTTTATACACCATGTTTATATATAAAACTAATACCCAATAGGTAGTTAAATGTGTATTCTCTGCCTTACATCCTATTCCTCGTTGGGTTGTGGGCTTAGGGCAGATTCACCCAATTAACTTTCTAATAGATATTAGATTATATATAGCAGTATAAACTAATCTATTATAAAAGTAGTCACTGTGGTCACTATTTTTACTATAAGAAATATAGGTTTTCTTAAAGAACTTTTCATTAGATATAAAGGAATCATTACAACTAACTCCATGAGTAACAAGTGAATACACCACGGTTATATATGTCAACGATCTAACAACCAATGCGATGTGTGCTATCCGCCTTACTTTCTATTCCTCGTTGGGTTGTGAACTTAGGGAAGATACACACAATCGATTGTTTGTTTACTCCGAGACTTATATAACTTGTACCCACTTACTACCCATAAAAAGGCTTGTAGTGTCATTTTACTTAACTTTCATTCAAGTAGGAAATATATGATTTTCTAGGAGGAACAGGCGACCCGTTTTCAAAACAAAACTTAAAGCTTACACCATTTTTACATATACATTTTCAACAACACTTTACAGCTTACTCATATCACTAAAGTCTTATGAACTCACCATCTTAATTGCTGATCAACTCTTTCAAATAACTTGTATTCTCAGGAGACTATTAGACAGTTGCTCGTGCTGGGAAATCAGAATATGGAGCATTATAGCTTCAAGTATTGTTTTGTTATTTGTTTATGAATTCTATGTTTTGTGAACACACACATTGTAAACACTTTCTTTCTAAATGAAATGGTTGTTCATTACTTGCTAACCATATACATATCTCGTGATACTAAACATGACGTCCTCCACCCCTGAACGTTTCCATCGTTCCGGTTTTGGGGTGTGACATTTACCCTTTTGAGATGCACATGGACCTAATGGACCGTTACCATCAGAGTATTCGTTAAGAGAGGTATGAAATAATCTCTTCCATGATAACAACCCAAAT